TATTCTCGATCTGCATGCAGGAACACATTATTTACATATAATTGACGTATGATCCAATCTTGATTGACTGCTATTGCCAACAACACATGAATTATTACGAGTTTGGCAACCGGGGCAAATGTGTCATGAAAATCCACTCCTTCAATTTGAGTATAACCCTTCGCGACAAGACGAGCCTCGTATCGCTCCATATCTCCATTTAGTTTGTAGTTTACATTGTATACCCATTTAGAGTCAATGGCTCACTTTCTGCCGATAAACTCGCTAGTTACCAAGTTTTATTTTGTTCAAGGGCATTAATTTCCCTTTGCATATTGCTTCCTTCCATCGTTAATCTCGAACAGCCTGTGCAAAATTTTTTGGCTCATCATGTGTGGCGATGGCAACTAAAAAGGATTTGTGAGCTTCAGAAAAATTATCATATGAGACATAATTATTAAGAGGGTGTACCGTTGAGGCGACTCGACTGATGATAGGTTGTGGATGATTTATCGAAGGGGACAACTTTACTTCATAATCCTTGTACCGAGTGTGTTATGTTTTGGTTCGTGTCTCTCTTTGCTGATCAGCACGATTGGTTTTATGGTTCATATCGTGACTGGCTTGTATTGAGTTGTCTTTAACCTCCATAAAAAGACCATCCAATGTGGGTGGTTCGTGATCACTTTGGCTTGATTCATGCTCTTCCTCTTCATCATTTGTCTCCTCACTATGAACATGAGTTTCGAATGTGGAGGAATCACAAACAGGAGGTGTGACCGCATGACGTGTTGTGACTTCCTTATCAGTAAAGTAAAACAAATCTTCATTTTCTTCCTGTATCTCCTTATTGCCATCTATTTGCTTCATTGGAAACTCATTTTTCAGGAATATCACATCCCTTGAGATCACCAATTTCTTGTGTTCTATGTCATAAATCTTGTAGCCCTTTGTGCCTTGGAGATACCTAAAAAAAAATCTCGGGTCTACCTTGTGGCTCAAATTTGTCCCCCCCCCCCAGATTTTGTACTTCGATAGTAAGATAAACAGCCAAGCCCACACATGTGATCATAACTTGGTTATTGGTTGAAAAGAACTTCATAGGGGGTGACACCATGAAGCACTTTGGATGGAAGTCGATTTATAACAACGTAAGTAGCAGTTAAGATACACTCACCCCAAAAGGTCTTTGGAATGTTTGCTTGGAAAAGTACAACACATGCCTTTCAAGTAAGTGTCTGTGTTTGCGTTCTACAACCCCATTTTGTTGTGGGGTGTATGGGAAAGAAGTTTCTAAAATTATCCCTTCTTTTGCATAGAAGTCATGCATTGTGTTGGAAACGACTTCTCCCCTATTATCACACCTTATCCGTTTGATTTCTTACCAAAACCGGGTTTTGATAATTTTGTGAAAATTCATGAGATGTGTGTTTGTTTCATGTTTATGCTTAAGAAGAAAAGTCCATACAGGTTGACTAAAGTCATCTACTATTGTTAATAAATAATAAGCTTTTGAAAACGAAGGGGTTATGTACTTTCCCCATATATCATAATGTATTAGATCAAAACAAGTAGTAGTTTTTATTTCACTAACAGGAAAGGGAAGCCTAGTGTTCTTAGCCTTAAAACAGACATCACACACTTCAACTTGACTATTCCTAGAAATGTTCTTAGTAAAACTTAAGTTTGAAATCTTCTTGGATGATGGATGACTAAGTCTTTTGTGCTAAACCTCGAAAGTTGTCATGAGAGCCTTCCTCTGTATTTCCCCCATTCGATACAATCCTCCTATGCAATTACCCGCACAATCAATCCCCTTGTCACCAACTTCTACATTACAAAGAAATAAGGGAAAAAGGTTATAACACAACTAAGATTCTTTGCGAACTTATTAATAGATAAGAGGTTGTAATTGAAATTAGGGACGTGTAGGACTCTATTTACTTTAATACCTTCGGGTAAGGTATGTTCACTCTCACCCATGACGGGCACTTTATCACCATCTGGAATAATCACAGGTGCTTCTTTGGGTTTGTGATTTTATTATCAAGAAAATCACTTCTATGCGTGATATGCTCGGTTGCACCCGAGTCAACCACCCATCCATCGTATGTGTTGTTTCTACCTGCCAAGTTAGCCTTTGGATTTGTATCGTTGGCTTCCTCCTTAAAGTGCTCAACAAATAAACGATACTATTCATCCGTTAACCCAGGTATAGGGTTGGGTCCAACCTCCACACAAGCTACCTTTGGTTTTGGTTTGTATTTCTTCCCTGACCACCAATCTAGGTACCCTATTTTCTTGAAGCAACCATCTTTTTTATGACATTCTTTCCCACAGAAAGTGCATTTTTCTGCCTTTTCGCTACCTTGCTTTAAGGTTCTTTGTGCTCCCTTGCTGATCGTTTGTGCAACAACTTGTCCTCTTTGTGTCTGGCGTGGTACTTTTCTACTCGTAAGATTTACCTGCAAAAGTTGTTGCTTCACCACTCGCTCTCCTAGAACGCCCAGTGATGGCTCATTGCAGCTTATCTTCAGCCACCAGGTGATAGGTTGATCCCAAAGATGGTGCATATTTCATGGCTAGGATTTGGGTCTAGATAATTGAGAAGTCTTCATCGAGTCCCATAAGGAACTCATAAATTCTTTCCTTTTCTTTTAGTTTGTTCAACCTCTTTCCCATAACACAATCACACACATCACAGGTGCATCGTGGTGTGGGAAGGACCAGTTGCAGTTCGTCCCATATAGTTCTTAGTTTCGTGTAGTAAGAGGAAACTGAAGCTTTATCTTGTATTGTGGCATTCAACGATTGTTTTAGCTCGTAAGCACGAGGAACTCCCTATTTCTCAATCGTTTGTCCAAGTCTTTCCAGATCTCGGCTGAGGTGTTTGCATACCTCACATTTGTTCAAATATCTCTTTACATGGCTGTCATCAGCCATCCCTTAATCATGGCATCAGCCCGCATCCATGCCATGTACATGGGAGACGTAGATTCTTGTTTCTTAATTGATCAATCGATCAATCCTACTTTGTTCTTTGCAAACATAAAATTCACATCTCTTGTTTCCATTCATTAAAGTTGTTGTCACTCAATACATTGTTCACCTGCATCTGCTTAGGGTAATCAGACAGATAGATGTAATAGGGTGAGTTGACATTGATGGTATCTGCTGTCTTCTTGCTTCCTTCTCCCTTCTCACCTGTCATGATCGCTCCCACCTTGGTATTTCCTTAATGGATCAATCGTTCTGATACCATAAAAAATTTGATAACAGGAAACATTTCTTTATTGATTAAGTTCTCAATGTTTACAATGCAAAGATTATCGATCCTTATATACAAGGATATGAAGAAACGATTATCTAATAAGATAATAGATAAAAACCACATAAGATAAAGATAAGAGACTTGTTGTTATCCCAATTGAATGATATGGATTTCTTTACAACCTTCTAGTTTATATGCATTAATTTTCTTTTAAACATAAAAAAAATTGATTTTTTCTTTTTCTATTTATTGTTATTATTTTTTTTGGTATAGTGCAGTGCAAGAAAAATAAAATTGTGTAATCATACATTCATACCGTGTTTATTTCATTTGTTTGATTTATTTTCGATGCAACCAAACCAAATAAATATTAAATTTTAATTAAAAAATTAGGAGAAAATATGTGGTTCATGGTTTGATTCATAGCGACGGTATTAGTGATACTCAACTTCATCTTACAACTTACCAGCATTCAAATCACACTCACCGTAGAAAGACTCTTCAGACTCCCCCAAAGCCAAAGCCAAAACTCTCAACTTTGCACAGCTAAAACCAAATTCCCGATTACATTAAATCTACCAATCTGTGCGCATATATGCATAGTCGTAGTCTGTCGCCGTAGTTTAATTTCGTACGATTTAATGGGGCTTTTTAAGAAGATCGCGGGATATCTAGGGTTAGGAAATCACGACTTGCACGAAGTCAACAAGGAGTATGACGATGACAAAGATATTAGTGGGAACAATCATCTGAACTCAACTGAAGAAATTCATCATCATAATTATAGTAATCTCCCCCGTAAAGGATTTAGTGTTCCCGTTAAAGTTCCTATAGATAGAGGTCAGCAAATCGGCCCAGTTTTAGTGCCCTGTGTAGCCGGCGATGGCGGTGTTCAGGTAATTCTCTCCATTTGTTTCATTGTCTGAATTTCCGTTTTATAAATCATGAACATTGTTTAATGTCAAATCTATTGCAACCTCTTAACTTATTACCAATTTTTCGTCAGTTAGATTGTAACTTCGGTAGATTTGCTCGTGTCTGATAATCTATGATTGCTTTCGATGATCAATTTGGTTAGTCTGGCTATCAGTTTACCAAATGACCTGATTCTGGTTGATAGATCCTAGATATAATGAATTGCTTCTTCTGTCCGATATCAGAATTCTGAAACCGCGACTCTGAGATGTGTGTGTATTTAGTGCCAAAGGACTACCGTATGTATCAATTTGTCAGTTGGAGGTTCGGAGAAATACATTGGCATCTAGAAGTTTTAGGTTAAGCTAGAATTAACATGAGATACAAAGTACGAATGTTTTTGTCCCATAAGGCCATAAGCCTAAGTGTTTCTGTGGTTGGTATGATGGAATCAAGAATGGAATGGAATGGTTCATTCCATTGAATTGTAAAAAAAAAAAAAAAAAAACTGTTTGTTTGGTCTGGTGGAATGAAATGGACCATTATTGAAAGTGAATAATAGGATTCCCAGGTGGGCATAAAAGGAATATCATATGACTCTAAGAGATGAGGCGTTTAGTAGTGAAATTCTAGGGTTAAAAGGGTATTTACAAGGAGGATATGCTGACAGAAGAAACTCTCGTCTGTGCAAAAGACATGAATGCCCTTCTCATCCTAATCATCAAAAATAGCCCTAGAAAGTTTGTTCATTTCCTTTTAGGGATCATATTCTTGGATTCACTTTCAATTGTAACAAAAAATGTTCTTTTCTAAAAATGGAAAGACGACTTTTATGGTTGACTAAATGCAAAAATTTGAAGATGAATAAGGTATATTTATATCTGCATCTATCTCACAAAAACTGTAACACATTTTATCTTTTCGTTCTTTATGGATGGATGTTCAATAAAAGTAGAATTATTCCCTTTTTCAGAAAGAATCTAAGTTACCTATTTGCCTATATTTACATGTTATAAATGTATATTGTTACTTCTTGCATTTAACCCTTTAATCATTAAAGGGTATTTTAGACATTTGACTTTCTTCTGTGTTTGTTGTAATGGATTTAGGGTTTAGGATGGTATGCACGTCGTTTAAAGATAGATGAAGATGGAGATGTTGCAGACGAGTTTCTTGTGGAGAACATTCTAGAAACAGAAGAAATACATCAACAACAAAAGCAACAATTTGTTCCTAAATTTGAAGTGAAATTAAACATGAAATCTGCAAAAGCAAGAAACCCGATTTTATCACGTGAAGGAACAATCCAACACTNNNNAGGTCGGTTACTACTGGCCTGAACCCCCCCCCCCCCCAACCTACCTACCCCACTCCACCTGCTTTTTGCAACTCTTAGAAGAATTGTATATCGGTTTAAAAGAAGAATTCTCTATTGCTGTGTGTTGTGGTTTTGAATGTGATTGGCTTTGTGGTTTATATAATCAACAAACATTTATCCCATATGCTTGCTTGTTTTTTTACATGTTTACCCCTGGATGGATTGGTTTCGGAAGACAATAGTCTTTTTTTCTTGAGGGTATTTTAGACGTTTGATTAATGGTTTATATTTTTGGTTAAAGTATGGATGTTTGGTATTTGTATGTTTGTTTAGAATGTGAAAATCTATATACTTGTGCTTTGGGATTTTATCATTCTCGAGGGTATTTTAGAAATTTGTTTGGTAGTTAATATATTTGGTTAAATTACGATTGTGACCTACCATATATATGCAAGGTGAAAATCTTTAAGTTAGGTATGAGGTTTAAATCTAGGTGTCGCCTTTTGAAAATGATATATTTATATACACTAGCTTACTCTTTTTATATACTAGAGTTCATCTATGAATATAGTTGGCCTATCTTGTGAACATGTTAACTACTTGGTATCTCCTTTTTACCATATTCGTATACTATTAGAGACCGGTTAAGAGAAAATGAGATACAACTTAAACAAAGGACATGTTATAATACTTCACAATAAATAACAGTATAACACCATCTATTTATAACTAAAATTACAAAAATAATTCCATAAAATGGCAAATACCTCGCATTATGTTATAAGAGGGTGTTGATGTTTCATTTTGATCCTAAAAAGGACTTTTAGATAAAAATACTTATTGATTTATGATGGTAGTAAAATGGAATTTTAAAAATGTGTTTGGATTGATCTTTGTGGTGGGAAAAAGTCACTAAGTTGTTTTTTAAAAAAATATTTGTCTTAGCTTTAGATAGAGTATTTTAAGGTAATATTGACTTTTACAATTCAAAAAGTTATAAGAAGTTTAGAAAAGTTACAAATTCTAACTTCTTAAATGTTCTTTTCTTTTTGTCAAACATTTTTTTTGAGTATTGACTTTTCAAAAAATTAATAAGTCAATAAGTTATTTTAAAATGAAATCTCAAACTCTCAAACACCCTCTAAGTGTGGTGAGTCAAATTAGATAAAGTGAAATAAATTCAAAAAGAACAAATTTTTTTTCTAGTAATCAAATAAAAGTTTGTTGCTTTTTGTTAATTTTCTGAGATATTGAGTAATCTAACCATTTTTTTAGGTTTTTTAAAAAATATAATCAAGTTTTTTTTTTTGAAAACTAACCTTTTGGTCCGGAATGGATCATTCCGGACCCGAATATCGGCCCAAGCCCAATG